TGTGTGTGTGTGTGTGTGTGTGTGTGTGTGTGTGTGTGTGTGTATGTGTGTAAGCTGGACAAAGAATGAGGGGAAAAGCTATTTGAGCATGTACTCCTCAGTCATGGCATGCCATCATCTTTGTTTGCACAGGTTGTGCCCGCGCCTGGAATGCCTGGCCTTCTTATCTGGGCCAGGTTGTCTTTCCTGATTCCATAGCTGCTCATTGACTTCCTTGCCAAATTGTCTTGTATTTATTTTGTATATGTTTTCTACAGACACATGTGCACATAGTCTCCCTTGTTAGTGTGTAAACTTCTTGAAGATAGGGTTTGTTTCATGTTGTGTTTGTATCCCCAGTACTGAGCAAAATCCATGCATCATTGCACCTGCGTAAATTACTTTGTGCTTGCTGAGAGTGGAGTACTGGGTGAAGCGTGCTGGTGGTCAGGAGCAAGAGACATTCTCGAAGCAGAAGGAGCCTCAGTGAGGAAAATCCTCACTGTTAACCTTTCAGGCACATGCATATTAAATTATGAAATTATAAAGACAAAGTCACAAAAGCCTATGAAAGACAGAATTTAGTTATATTAAAATACCAATGAAAGTCATCACACTATGCAAAAGTGAGGAAAAATCATAAAGGAAGACAAAAATATGAAGTCTTGAAATTTAAGGTTAACATCCCCAAATCACATAATCCACAATTTGACAATATTGTTTGATAACATAATTATTTATTTCCAAGAAAAATAAGACTTTGAATAATTTATCGACAGAAATCCACAATTAAACAAATCCTTATAAGCACTAGAAGATGCACTACAAACTTACTAAATGAAAACTTCTTCAGAATATTATAATATCCATTCAATCTCTTAGTAGTGGCTCTTAAGAACTAGATAGCTAGACTTATAATGTTAACAGGATTTTACTGAGCCGGTCTCCAACCTGAGAATGACCAAACAGCAGGCCAGAGACAAAGTGCTGGTAATCAGGTAGCCATTTAATTAACTAGTTTCATTAGGAGGAACACATTTTCAAATCGAGTATTCTCTTGATCAGAATTCCACTTTGCTGAAGTGAAGACAGAGATTATATACTTAAATCACAATTGGGAAAGGAGAGAAGGTGCATTACAAACAATTGTTTCTAGGACGGGAGTGATTTCCCACGATCAGCTCACAAATCCCACCTTCACTAAGGTAAAGGTGTTCTGAAGTGCTGTGGCAACAGCGTTGTTCAGGTCTTTGGGGGTCGTTATTTGGTGGGTCCTGAGGCCAGAGTTCTGTGGTGAGAACAGGTTCTATAATCTCTGATTCGCTTCACTGCAGGTGTGCAGGCACAAGGAAGCCAGTGATTGTGAGTGTTGTCAAAGTTTGATTGATCATTTCAAGCTACATTGTAAGCTTCTGACTCACAAGCCAGAAAGGCAGCTCTTGAGAAATGAAATTATTAGTATATTCGTTACACATGTCCTATTGATTAATGTAAAAATGATGGTTCTCTCCTCAATAGACAGGTGTTTGGATACTTTAAAGACTTTCTTATCTCATCAACATTGGTACTACCTTTACAAGGACATTGGTATCTTTCTCTTTGTCCATGACTTTGATCTCTGTCCTCTTGTAAATCCTTCACAGGTGGCTCATCCAATGTATTAGGAATTTTCCTCTCAGAGCTCTTGTCATTTCAGGAGTACTACTGGTATACCAGTGTACATCATCATATTTTGCTTATTTTCACTCTCTATACATGTCCAGTTCACCATCTTTTAAAGACCTATTTTTGATGCTATCCTTAAAACTAAATCTTCGTTGGTGGTATTATGTCACAGGCTATTTATAGCAACTGGACCTCTCACTATTGCCCTTTGGGTGATAAAATTTTTCAAAGACCGTAGAATTAATTCTATGACTCACAGACGTAAATCATGAATATAAGAATATTGATGCTTAAAAAATTGGGGCCTGCTTTCAGTGACTAAAAGCATTGTGAAGTTTCCCAAATGCAATCCACACTACTTTACTCCTATTTAATGCTTGTTTCAAATCACTTTCTGTTCAGAGTATCAACCTGATCGACTAACAGTATGGGTTTCCTCTTCTACTCCAAATTATAGTCTTAACCAATAGGCATTCATCATTTGCTTGTTTCCCTACCCCCCTTCATAGAAGTTAAACCAAACTCTTCTATTCACTCTAACCATAGTGGCCCCCACGGTTCTGTTCTGGGCTTCATTCTCTTCTCCCGCTATACTACATCTGATGATCTCATCAGCTCTCATGGATTTTATGACCATCTCTATGCTGATGATTCTCAAATCTCTCTATCCTGCCCTAACCTCTTTGCTGATCTCTAAACTTTCACTGCTTTTCAGACATCTCCAATTGATATCAGTAGACATCTTAAATTCAACATGTCCAAAACAGAACTTAACATCTTTCCCCCTAAACTTCTGTATTACTGTCAAAAATATGTCTTCCCAGTCCTTCAGACTCACAGCCTATAGGTGTCATCCTAAGCAGAGTATTTTCTCTTTCGTTTTTCTTTCTTGTGGCTTTTCCCTTTTGTTCTGGTTTTTCTTTCACAACATGACTAATGGGGAAATATATTTAATATGATTGTATGTGTATAGCCTGTGTCAAATTGCTTGTCATCTTAGGAAGAGGGGAGGGGAGAGAGGAGGGAAGGGGAGAGAGGAAGGGAGAAAAAAAATGGAACTCAAAATCTTATAAAACCATCTTTACATGTAATTGGAAAAAAATACTATTAAGTGGAAAATAAAATGAAGAAGTTGATGAAAGAAAGAAAGAAAGAAAGAAAGAAAGAAAGAAAGAAAAAGAGAGAAAGAGAGAAAGAGAGAAAGAGAGAAAGAAAGGAAAGGAAGAAAGAAAGAAAGAAAGAGAAAGAAAGAAAGAAAGAAAGAAAGAAAGAAAGAAAGAAAGAAAGAAAGAAAGAAAGAAAGAAAGAAAGAAAGAAAGAAAGAAAGAAAGAAAGAAAGAAAAACTTGGAAAGACTTACACAAACTGATGAAAGTGAAGTGAGCAGAACTAGGAGAACACTGGTCTCAGTAACAGCCACATTGTGTGATGATCAGCTGTGAATAACAGCTTTTCTCAGCAGTGCAGTGATTCAAGACACTTCCAAAGGACTCATGATGAAAAGTGTTCTCCACTCCCAGAGACAGAACTGATGGAGTCAGAATGCAGATCGAAGCATATTTCTCACTTTTTAATTTTTTTGTGTTTTTTTTGTCTGTTTTCTTTCACAACATGACTAATATGGAAATATATTTTGCATGATTGCACATTTATTACTTATATCAAATTGCTTACTTTCTCATAGAGGAGTCAGGAGATGGAGGGAGAGAATTTGAAATTCAAAATTTAAAAAAAAAGATTAAATTTTGTTCTTACATGAAATTTGAAAAAAATGTTATTAAAAAAGAACAAAAGTCTAATATTTGCTACTATCTAATAAATTTTTATGAAAGTTTCCTGTAAAGATCATCTGGTAAAAATTTGGAATATTACCTACACACACACACACACACACACACACACACACACACACACACACACACACATCTCTCAAATATAGCCCTTTCTCTCCACTGACCTACTGCCATTCTGGTGCCGATCCTCATCGCCTCATGCCCAGACTGTTGCAGTAGCCTTCTGGGAGTCAGCCTCCCTCGGGTCTCTCCCCGCTCTGATTCATCTTCCTTTGAGCCACTAGAGTGATTTTCCTAACGTAAGAGTCTGACCATCTCAACCTCCAACCCCTCACATGCTCAGTGCATGCCAGGGGCTCCCTATTGCCTCCAGATCAAATACGAAGCTCTCCGCTTGCCTTTCAAAGCCCTCCGTGACCTAGTCTCTTCCTCCCCTTCTTGTCTTACTCTTCATTCCCTGAGCTGTCCTCATTGATCTGGTGACACCATGGCCTCCTTGCTTTTCCAGGAACAAGACACCCCCACTCCTCAGTTCTCCACATTCTCTCTTCTTGACTCCCATACCTGGAAGAGTCTCCCTCCTACTCTCTGCCTAGTGGATTCCTTTGTTGTGGTTCAGTCATTTTTGAGTCATAACTGACTCCTTGTGACACCGTTGAGGGTTTTCTTGGCAGAGATACTGGAGTGGTTTGCCATTGCCTTCTCTAGCTCATTTTACAGATATGGAAACTGAGGCAAAGAGGGTTAAGTGACTTGCCCAGGGTCACACAGCTAGTAAACGACTGAGGTCAGATTTGAACTCAAGTCTTCCTGACTCCAGACCAGGAACTCTATCCACTGTGCCACCTAGCTGCCCCTACTGGCTTCCTTTAAATCCCAACTAAAATTCCATCTGCAGCAACATCTTTCCCAATCCCTCTTCATTTCAATGCCTTCTCTATATTAAATATTTCCTATTTACCCTGCATATAGTTTGCTTTGCTTGTATTTGGTTATTTATTGTCTTTCCCATTAGACCGTGTGCTCTTTGGAAGTAGTGACTGTCTTTTGGACTTAGTAAAATATTCATGAACCGATTGACACAAACAACAGTCCACAGATATTTATTCAGGATCTACTATGCAAATGAAATGGAGATGGACACTGGGGACTCAGAGATGTGCTATGTAACCTGCTCTCAAGTAGCTCCCAGCTGAGTGGGGAGAAAGACATTCCAACAATCAGAAATTCATAAACACTCCTGAAGGGAGGCATAGAAGAAATGCTAGCGGGGCAGCCTCATGTCAACAGAACATTAGGAAGACTTTGGGGCCCTCTTCCTCAGATGCCCACCATGTGACCCTGGGCAGATAACTGATCTTCTCTGGGCCTTAGTTTCTTCATTTTTACAGTGGAGATTATTAGTAGCACATATTGTGGAGCATTGTTATGAGGGTCAGATGAGGTAACATGAAAACTTAAAGTGATATAAATAACTGTTATCGTAAGATGCTGTAAGAAATTTGAAATGTTTTTTTTTAATTTCCAGATAATTAATTGACGATTCATTTTTTTTCCTTTTTAGGACAAAACCTCACCTTAATATTTTACAAAGGGAACCTGTTATTATTCATGAAAAAATAGCTATTAATATACAAAAGGAAAATGAAGGGAAGTGCCCAACAAAGGAAGATGAGAAGGCAGCCAGAGCAACTGAAGGAGAAAAGCCCACTTTGCCTGGAAGGAAGGTGATTATGGGGAATCCTCACTGGGGAGTTTTTCATTAGGAAATTTGAGCTGAGATTCTATCGCAGGACTATTGGTGGGGCAGCTAGGTGGCACAGTAGATTGAGCACCAGCCCTGAAGTCAGGAGGACCTGAGTTCAAATCCGGCCTCAGACCAAGCACTTGACACTTACTAGCTGTGTGACCCTGGGCAGGTCACTTAACCCCAGTTGCCTAAAAAAAAAAGAAAAAAGAAAAGGAAAAAAAAAGACTATTGGCCACCTCCTGAGATAGCTTTGGAAAGTAATGCATGCCTCCAAAAATTGGAATTTAAAAAAAAAGCTTTTAATATTCTGCTTCAGATTCTAGTGACTTTAATCCAGATAACTGGAAAGAATCATTTCTAAAACAAGCAAGATCACATGGTACATTAATTACTGTTTGGTTTTTTTAATAATTCTTGCTGCATTCTCACATTACGATGACACCAGACATTTGGTGGGATGGTAGAAGAGCTAATTTCTGGCACTTCAAAGTAAGGAGAAGTGTGGGTTAGCCCTTCCTTAGATGCAGTTTGACTCCACATTCACTTTTTGACAGCCTCCATTGTGTGAAGCACTGTGAGAGGCATCTTTCTTTACCGGGAGTTTAGATGGTGAATGGCCTTTAGAGTAGACATTGTGGGCCCAGAGAAGCCCTGTTCCTTTTTTGTACCCTCGCCTTCTCATAAACTGTGCCTGTACTTCAGACCTCTGAGGACCATTCACTTGTGTGTTGCTACTTGCCGTGAGTGAGGCAATGTACAACAGAAATCACAATGTCTTCCCAGCACGAATAGTAAAACTGCTATCTTTGTTGCCCTTTAAGGTTGGCCAAGCCCCTTTCAATTCCTTATTTCACTTTAACCTCACTATATCTCTGTGAGGCAGGGACTGTAATACAGGGGTTTAGATTCCCATTTCACAGATGTAGACGCTGAAGGTTTGAGAGATTAAACCAATAGCCTTCATATAGCTAGGAAGTTTAGAAAATGAGATTCACAGCCAGCTGCTGCTGCCTGGCTCTGCCTTCAGCCCCTTGGTCTACAAAGAAATGTGCTCATCTTCGAGATAGCAGGAGTCTTTTCCAACCTTCTCCTGTATCCATTGTGTGCAAACAGGATTGATAGATAGATGTTTCTAGATCATGATTTCTGACCAAACCCCACCGTTCCATCCTTAGTGACTGCATTCAGGCCTATAGCACTTTTCACCAATGCCAGTCTGTCATAATGTTTGCTAGTTTCATTTTCACAGGATTTAAAGTGGCAGAAAATCGTGGTGGGGGACATTTGGTCTAATCCCCTCATTTTACTGATGAGCAAACTGTTGTGTGATTTGGCCAAGGACACACAGGTTGTGGGCATCACGGATAAGATGTGAACCTTATTTACGGACGTCAGCTCTGAGGAGTCTTTTTTCACATCGTGACATGTCCTGTTTCTCTAGCAGGAATGTCAAACCCTCCAGATCACATCTATTGCCATGTATTCCTTCTCAAATCATGCCAGTGCTGTCCCCCTATCCAGGACATACTAACAGATAGTGCAGACTTGCAGTCCCTTATTATGTCTGCACATTATAAAGCGAGTGATCAGTAGTTTTAAAGAAAATGTAATTAGAGGAGCAGTTTTGCTATAATATCAGTGAGATCAAGTGGAGCTATGGACAGACATATTTTCATTGTGGAGAATGTTGTGTAACGATGCTGTTCATTCTCCTCGGCACTGTTTTGATCCTTCATGTTAGACAACGATGTGATAATGACATTGCTGTTCCTTTGAGCCGCGTAAAGCCTACCTGCAGGAGGAGCAGCTCTTTGGACCCTCGGCAAACCTGACTCCTCCTTTGTTTTGCAGCTATAGCCGCAGGGGCCAGGCCACACTACTCAAGCCACTCAAACTGATTCTTCCTGGCAGTGTTGGTCAATCTCATGCTCTTATTGCCCAGACACCCATGGTTTGTCTTCAGGTTTGTGAGACCGGGCGTCAGGGCTCCTGGGCTCATTCATTTGTTTTTAGTGCCTTCTTTAGGTCCCTGTCATCTCACCCAACGCGTACCGTGCCAACTGTCTTCCATAGTATCTCCTAGTGCAGTGTGGTGGTGAGCTATATTAAAGCAAAAAGTACTTTAGGATTAGTGGTTTGGCTCTGGTTTATGAACACGTTGTTGGTTATCGTGCCTTTGTATTCAGTGGTAATTCTGGCTTTTCAGTTTGACTGATGCTCTTAGAGCAGAAGTAATGCTTGGGTTACATCTGTGTTTCCCAGCCAGCTTTATCTACAAAACTGGACACACCGACCCACATAGCTCAATTCAGCACCATGTATTGGGGATCTGCTGCGTGCGTTTCACTTTTAGGCGCTGTGATGCTTGAGACTTGCCCTTTCCCATGGGCAGCTTCTAATCAATCGAGGAGACAAGACATACACATTTGGAATAATGATAGAACAATACACGTCAGCATTCACCTAAGTGCCATTATGTTTGGTACAGATCATCAAATGTCCATCAGAGTAGATGAAAGAAAGAGAGTACATGCCTCTGTGTGTGTGTGTGTGTGCTCGTGTGTGCAGATGTGTATGTGGAAGTGCACATGTGTATGTGTAGGCATGGTCTGGCAGAAATTTGTGTCAGAAAAAGGGGCAGCTGACCCCTAAAAGGAGGCTAGTTCTGGAGAGGCAAAAGAGGCACTTGGGCCTTGCAGTGAGCTCAGAGGCTGGACGTTGAGTGTTGTGATTAGATGAAGAGTTCATTTTTTTAAACAGAGGTAAAAACATTGGGACTTACTTTTCTGCATTGCCTGGCTTCGTATGTCATTTTTTCATTGCCAAGATTATTCCTTCCAGGCAGCTCTGATTGTAAGGAGTTTTTGCCCTTTGTTACAGCAAATATATATGTCGTTGTAGTTCTCACCAACCGTTCCTAATTCCTTTCAATGGATTCAAGCAGAAGAATCGTCTCCAAATCCTACACGGCCCCAAGTAGAGAGGAGGCAATAGGGATCATGCTTCCCATGGTTTTCTCTTCTCTAGACTGGTATTTCCAATGCCTTAATTCAGTCCTCCTGTGGCATGGTTTTGAGACCCTTCATTTCCCTGTCATCAGCCTATAGTCACCTTTCAGCATGCCCCTTTTCTTTCTCAGTGTGATAGCTAGATCTGAACTCAGTACTTCAGATGTCATCTGAGTACAATGGAACACTTGCTTCCCTTTCTCTGTGAGATCACATTGCCTTTGGTTTTGTGATTCATCCCAGTTAACCTGACAACATTGGGCATGTAGGAGGTGGAAAATAAATCTTGGTGCTTGTTTGCTTGCTAACAAACCCCATGAATCACTTTTGCATGGGCTTCCTTCTAACTACCTCCACACAGTTCCATACTTTTGCATTCGAGTCTTTTTGAATTCAATTATCTATCATCCTTAGCAAGTTTTGTGTTTATCCTTAGCAAACCATATCTTACTAAGTTTGACCTGTAATGCAGACTCTTGAAATATTTTTGGATCTTTTTTTCCCCCCTCTGGCATTACACATATCAGCTATCCCTCTTAGCGACATACTCTGTACAGATCTGCTGAAGATTCTGCTGATGTCTTCATTGATGTCGCCCAATGGAAGACGTGTAGCAGAACATGGACGTGGACAGAGATGTCCACATGAGGTGAGATCAGTCCATTGGTCAGCCTGGATTGGTCGTTTGGGTTGAGTTAGGCAGGCAGCTCCAAACACAGCTAACTGTACTGTCCTCTGATCCCTATCTCTTGATCCTGTCCTATAAGAGTACTGGGAGACACTGCCAAGTGTTTCACTAAATCTGAGTCTACCTTGTTGATGGCGTGTTTCTCCTATGTCCCTACAGTGAAGCCTGTGAAAAAGAATATAAAGATGCTTCCCATGAAGCTCATTTGAGCTGCTCGGGCTGGGTAGTCCGGAGGATCTTCAGAAGTCATCTGGCTCACCATCCGTTCCAGAATCGTCAGAGCATCCAAACCATGCCATAACTTGTGAAACCCATCTATCAGCAGTGCTCAGTCAGTCCCAAAGCACTTATTTGGCATCTACTGTGTGCGGGCGCTGGGCTAAACTCAGTGCGTACAAAGGAAGGCAAAAGATGGTCCCTGCCCTCAGGGAGCTTGCAATTTAATTGTTAAAAATGAGGCCAGGCATTGCCCATTCATAACAGCTAGCTTTCTGTAGCGCTGAACACGCTTCATCTCGTTTAATCCCTAAGGACGTCCCTATGAGTTAGGCATACTGTCTGCTAAAGTGAGCGGGGTGGCTATAGCTGGGGTGGGCTCGAGATGACGGTAGTGGAGAGAAGAAGGCTAATGTTTTTTTTTTTTTTTTACCACTGAGGAAAGTGACACTGATGGGGTGAACAGAGCCACCCACGGTGTCTCAGGAAAGATTTGAACTCAGGCTTTCCTAACTCCCAGTCCTTTGCTCTATTCGCCATGCCATTTAACTGCCTCATTTAATTAAAAAGAAATGCGTATTTAGTGTTTATCATTAAGGAGACACGTGGTCTAGAGAAGAAAAAAAATCTGTCTCCTCATTGTTTATTTTGTAAGGGAACAGCTAGAAACCAACACAGCGTGCCTTCATCCAGATAATTCTGTGTAGGATGAGTGCCCTCCAACTCACTGGCTAATGGCCAAGATATGTTGCCTCTCAGAGTTTGCAGGTGCCCGGAGGAGTTGGGGTTGTCCCTTCGCTCTACTACCGTAAGTTCAGGGTCTCCCGCCTTTGTTCGGGGGCAATGCCTTACACCCCAGTTGTGAATCTCTTGAGGGCAAGGATTTTTTTTTCCCTAGTACTTAGTACAGCGCTTTGTAAATAGTAGGCACTTAATAAATGTTTACTTACTGACTAACCAGCCCCAATGATGTTTAACCACTTGTCACTGAGAGCTTTGACAGAGAGATTTACTTTACAGATAAATCGAGAACAAATGTACACCTATTTTTCACCATATGTCCAG